GGGCGAGGGCGGGCGGGGGTGCCTCTGACCGCAAGCCCGCGGCCCGACATGCAGCCTGCCCCGCCTAGAGAGCCCCTGCCGCCGGCCGCACACCTGTCCCCATCGCCCACCTTCCCCCCGTTCATTGCTTTCGTAAAGTGCGATTCAATCATTCGCAAAAAGTCCCCTTTCTATTGGCCGTTACGATAGGAAAACCATACGGCCGACACGATCGCACACCCGTTTACAACTGCCGCGCGCACCCTCCCCCCGTTATGCTTCCCCTCCGAACCGAAAACCGCCGGCCCGCGCGCCGCAAAAGTTTTCATAAGTTTCTTTATTGTTGCAGGCTCACCGCTTGATCTGTGTAATGAATCGGATTCTGGTAATTACGTTCCTGAGGGCGGGGAATAATTAATTCAGACAAACGCCTTGCGTTGGCAAGCGAATTGTGCGGGAAGAAATCGAGAGTTTGCTCAACTTTTGCCGGCGGGGGCCCCCCATGGGGCGGCGGCGGGGGCGGCGTGTAGCCTGCCGCTGGGGCAGCCCCCCATGCTGCCCCACCCCCAGCGCTGCTGACCGCGAGCGCCGGGCAGAGTCGCGGCGGTCCCCCTACAGTCATCATCCCTGTCCAAACGTCCTTTCGCAGAGAAAGTAACGGTCTGATTGAAAGTTTTCAGCGCTCGGCAGCGGCAAGGGGGAAAGGGGGGGGGGAGGGAGCGATTAAATGTGCGAGTCTACACTGCAGAAAAGAACTTGCCTTGGAAATGGGAACATCCTTGCTTTAATTTTTTTGTCATCCATGTCATGAGGCTGTAAAACAAACTATTTTAAAGAACTATCTTTTTTTGCAGTACAGTCGCCAATCCCGTGAAAGCCTCCTTTTCCTGCTTTCGTGAGACAGCGCGGCGATTTCCTCGAACCCCTTCAACGGAATCTCTCCCGGTGAGTTAGCCCTTGTGCCTCTGCTTCAAGAGCAAGAGCGTGCGCGAGCGACTTCGTACCGTTCACTTTAACCTAGAAAAAACAAGCACTCCGAACCGAGACGGTTTGTGAAGATTTGCGAAGTCCTTTCGACCGAGCACACACACCTTGGTGATTCGCTGCACATCGCAGGGGCACAAAGACGTAATTCTTATGGTACGTAGCTCTTGGTTGTTGAAATTGTATCGAAGATCACGTTGATTTACGACACCCCTTCCCCTTCCGCTAAACAAAAACAAACACTGCGCTACGCTACGCCTACGCCACTGCACGGTCCGCCGCCGCCGCCAGCGCTCAGTTTCGTTTCGGGTGACCCCGGGCGTGCGCGTGTGTCACCTTGCGCCTAATCGTGAATAGTTTTCGTTGCGAAGCTGAATACCTGTATTACCTTCTGTGAAATGAACAGGTCCTTTGGTATTTCACTGATTCGATATTTTTAAACGACCGGTCTCTTTGTCTACGGCGAAATCTGTCGTCATTGTTCGTTTGTTGGAGTGTTCCATAACCTGTACGTTGTGTGATATTACTGTAGAGAACAGTTAAAGTGGTGTTCGCGGATTTTGTGAATCGGAAAAAGTGTCTGGAATCCCAATCAGTAATGTGAGGTGAGTTTTCTTGCGTGACGTCCTCTGATGGAAGTTGAATATCATGTATCAATCATTGCATGTTTTGAATCTTGATTCTCATGGATCAAGTTGTCCCACTACACCCATACTTCTGATAATGGCATGAACCCAAACCTTGTTATTGAGCTTCCCAAATGCCATTTCTTGTTATGTCTGCTCTGGAGCGTTGCTAAGGATTTGCCTTGACGGGACTAATTTCTCGTGCCTTTTCATTCAAAGTTACACAGCCCAGTTCTTCTGATTTGCTCTATGTAATTGAACGTCAATCACCAAACAGTACAGAAAGTAAACCAGTGCAGTGAAGCCCTGTGTGCGTAGTGCTCAAGCACTCCTCACCCAGACTCGCACTCATCCCTCGACTCCCATTTCCTGGGTGACCCTTCCGTCATTCATGAGCTAACCAGTCGGTGGTGCAAGGGTGAAGTTCCTCTGCTGCGTTGAATGGCCTGACTAATGTTGCCTGCACGCTGCACCCGTCATGAATACAAATACCCAAATTTCACAAGCGCACGAGCAGCGCCGTCGTGTTATGAACTAGTTTGATAAACGACCCCAGGTAGGTGGCGCCGCCGGGTGTCTTATTAACAAGTCAGCGTGCACCCGCCGGCGTGGCGTGGCGTGGCGTGGCGTGGCGTGGCACATGGTGATAAGCATCTCGCGGGATGGCCACCACCAACACCGTCCCACCACCACCACACCACCCCCTCGGTGGGCATCGGGCGGACGCCCGATGGGGAAGGACGACGACGCCGCTTGACCCTTGATGGCCCTCGGCCGCCCTCCTCCCCCTCCCCCCCCCCCCTTGCGCCCCCGTCCTGGGTCACCTCCCCGTGTGACCATGTAAGAGGACCACCGGGGACGAGTGTTTGTTTCGTGTTTTGGGCTCTAGAGAGACGAGAGGGGTGGATTTGTGAGCGGCTCGCCTCGCCGCCCCTCCACTGACCGCCGCTCTCCTCTTCCACACCTCATCTCGTTCGTCCTTCCATGTTCGCCGTCGTCACCCCTTTTCCCCCTCATCTTCCGCTCACCCCGCCCACCTTTCTCACCCGCTTCACCCCCCCCCCCCCTTTACGTTCCTGGTCGCCGTTCGTTGACGTTCCGCTTCGCTACCCTCCGCGCCTGGTGGTGCTTTTGCTGGTACGCGGGCAGGGGTTAAGACGCTTACCTCAATCTGGTCCTAACCGATAATCTTTTAGCCGAACGGAACGGAGCATTCCATTTCACCACCGCCCGGATAACCAGAAAACTAAGTAAGCGTGTTCTTCCCCCGTTCAGCGGAAACTGGAAGTTCCCCGTTTTGCGTAAAACTGGAAGGTATGAGAAATCGCTCGCAGAGGCGCGGGGCCGGGGCGGGAACCAGATAGATGGGTCAGTTTTAGAGGACTCTCGGCGCCCGTCCCGGTGTCTGGTCTGTCCCACCGAACAGGGAAGAGGACTGGCAGGGAGGAGGCGGACGCTGAAATCCCATCCTCCCTCACGCCCTGCTTTGCAGATAGGGTGTACTGGGGTGGCCAAGGTCGCCCGCCCCGCCCCGCCTCGCCCGGGTGGCTCCTGCTCGCTGGCAGCTGGTTGCTGTATCGCCGCGCGGAGCTGCCGCTGCGCCGCCCCGCCTCTGGCCGGAAGGGAACGCGGCGAATAAAACGGGGCAAAAATAATGTAGAGACGTCGAGATAACAGTTTTGGAACGTGACGTTAGCGTATACTCTGAATGTACCCCGCCCCGCCTCGCCCCGCCACACGCCGCGCCCCGCCCCGCCTATCCACCCTTTTCGTTGTTCTGGCTTCGCTCTTCCGGACGGATCGGCTTAGCTTTACGTCGGGACGAGGATAACGGCCAGACAAAAAGTGCTCACGCTGCCGGGAGTACTCCTTGACTTTCGGCTTCGCTCGGCTCTTTTTGCGATATTCAAGTTTATAGCAGCCAAATTTTCCATTTTGCACTGTATTAGAA